CAAGATCACGTTGAAGGCTATACCATTCATTAGTTGATTAGGGGACTCGTGCTACCCTATTCTGTAGAAAATATGTTGCAACTTGATGAAGGGGGTTTCGAACCCTTTCTTTCCCTTTCCATACTTAACCATATCGACTTTTATTTTCAGCATGGCAGCAACAGTTAACGAGGTGTTCGAGGAAATCGCACCAGTCGCCTCGACAGCTCATGGAAAAGTCACCGTTGTGGGAGTAGGTCAAGTCGGAATGGCATGCGCCTACAGTATCCTTCAGCAGGTGGGTAAAGCAATTTTTGAGTACCACCTGGTCAGATGCGAATGTAAATCGAGCGTCTCTCGTTTGTGGGTGGCGAAAACCCACCATTAAGGCCTTGGTGATTCGAACGAAAATGGCCTTGACGTATGTCCTTCGCCAACCATTTAGCTTTTATTATTCAGTCTTGCAAAAAGTTCAGAGGAACGCACTTGTCCCATAGAATTACTGGCGTGAATCTGGCGAGTCTAGTAAATTAGCTATATCCTCTTCACATGTACGAGAACGACTAACTGGCAGCAAAATAATAGTAGTAGTAATAATAATAACGAAATATTATGGTAGCAAATAATAATCTGGCATTCTCGGGGTACTATTCATGATCTGGACAAGATTCGAACTCATGCAATTTGTAAGCGTTTATGCAGAGGTATGTCATTCGGTTTGAATTCTCCTGAGTATGGAAACCTATACCCATAGGGCTGTTGGTGGTGTAGCGGCAGTGGCGCTATTTTCCATGCACACGATCCAAGGGCTTGATTCCAAATCGGGTATGGCTCAGGCCAACTGTGCCTTCCATCCCTGTATGCTGGTACGCTGCTTTTTGCGTTTCACTGGGAGGGTAAATCACTGACATGTGCATCGACCGCCCCGCAAGTCATTGTAGAGGTCAAATTGCATCCAAATTACCATGCCGATTCCCATGGGAGTAGAATGCATGGCGCATCACAAGGAAGGATTACGCCGAATGACCATAGTGTCTATCCTCATGAAAGCCTACTAAATTCCTCCAGCATCACGACAGCGTTAGCAGGAACTTTGCTTAGCGCTTTATCATCTAAGACAGGACCAATTGGACCAATGCGAGCGCTAGCACAGCTGACGGGCTTTGCAGCTTTCTATTGAGTACAACATCCAATCAATGTGCCAATATGCGCACTTACATGCTTGCAATACAACGACCTTTGGTGCGTGCAGTGCTTGGCTGGTTTGTTGCCATGTCGCTATTGTTGTGGGTAAGGTGACGAGAAAAAATTCCGTGGTTTCAAACGATTATTCACACCGTTCGCGACTGCGTGTCACAGTCTGCGTGGGATGACACATTCCTTCGCAAACCGGAAGCTACACTCAGTCCGAGTGTTCTTTCAGGTTTTTGGTCAGAAATCTTTCTAGGGACATGATTCACCTTCGCCAGTTAGATAGATGTCTCATATACTAGCTTTCTCAGCCAGGCCCAACAAGATTTAAATGACCGTGTTGAAACTGGATCGTATTCTCGTGAAATTTTCTAAGTGGAAGCTAATTCAGTAGTCTAGCGTGGACTCGTTTGTTGGATGCGCCACGCATTCCGCAAGGTTCATTATTTCAATGGTAGTTGAAATCAATTTTGCTTTCACAGTGAAAGGGGGGTCATACCATATTTCCACCTGCAAGTGTTTTATTTTGTCGGTTTTCTAAGTAAGGCCCAGTAACTGCCAATGCGACTTGAGGCGAAAAGAAAGAAGATTTAGTTTAATGTGCAGAATTCATTCTTGATTTCACCTTCACGGTTGGCGGCTCTACTCGTCACTTATGGAAATACCATCGTCCAGCACATCGCAACACGGTCAATATATCTTATCGACACCAATTAGGAAATTGAAAGAAAGTATTGAATTCGTCGTGGTAATTACAATAAAATAAAAGGATAAAGCATTTGCCGTTGATCAATCCCTTTTTGGGATGCGGCACGCATTCTACTTCCATTTGTACATTCGCAGTGGCGTTTGAATGCGATGTGGCCTATACAATGACTTGCGGGGGCCAGCCGATGTTCAAGTCAGTGTTTTTATCCTCCCAGACAAGTCTGGTACCAATTAACCGACCCCGGAGGGATGGAAGGCTTGGTTGGCCCGGGCGACTCACGACCCAGGATTTGATCCCCGGACCGCTCGCGTGGTAAGCGCGCCACTTGTCACTACACCACTTCCGCCCTGTAAATAAAATATTACTCTTTTGGGTATTTAGAAATCCGATTGTTTAAGCAAGCTTTAGGAATTCCGAAAATGGACACGTTGGTCCTAACGCAGCTCGACTCGGCCTTGAAGTAGACACCCGCTGCTGCCCGATATTTTTGCGATGGGTTTAGGATATAAAATTGCGTTCCAACTACCGATCAGGGAACACCATCCATCTCAAAGTTTTTTTGTTGGTCCATTGATTGACTCTGATTTTTTTATCTCAGCTCAGAGCACCATTGGAATCGTTGGTTGGTGATAATGCACGCCTATCAGGGTTTGCCGTAAAGCGGTAACATTTTTTACTCAATAGATTTCGCTTTTGCCCTCCCTTCACCACCACAGCCCAACGGGGTGAGACACCATCCTTTTACCTGGTCGGGCCTTACGAAAACCTTCACATTCTCCACCAAATCATAGAGAAGTGCTTTCTTGGTTGACGTCGGTTAATTACGATAAAAGTTCAACAACTTGAACTTCTCTTACTTTTCTTCTTCTGTCGACATTCATTAGGTGAAAAGCTAGTGAAGAGCGTTGCTAGGAGCAATCATGTCGTGTAAATCGCCTCAACGAGGACAACATCCGTTCTCAAATCCGTTCAGCCTTCAGGCATCAGAGCCAAATTACTAGCCCTGTGCAACAGTAGCTGCTGTTTTCGCGAGAATTCTGGGCTATGAGTCCATTGTGTAACCCAGGCGGGAAATCGAACCCGCATCCTTTGGCTTCGGCTATGCTCGATGATTTGTTTTTATAGCTAGGGCGCTGATTTTTTTCCAGCTGGGGCGAAGTGTTCTCGAAGTGTTGCTCACAAATCCAGTACCCTTGTGAAAATTTCCGAATGACAAAATGCGGCTAAATCAGGGGTTAAAAAACGGAAATGAAAACTGTGAAAACTGTGGTATTGAATTGAACTTCCGGTGTTCCACAGTGAAGCCGTCTATTGAAGAGTGTCGGTCATGGAAATGTTCACTGGAATTGAAGACCAGGCTCTCTAGAGGAGACTTCCTTAAACCTCAATATGTAAATACATTTTTGGGAGTGCTGCAACTTTTTTCCAAAAAACCTGTTCATCTCTCCCGAAGGTTGCTGTCTTTTTCACTTATTAGCTGGTATGCGCCGCGCGTTTGGCGTTCACACAGCAATTCAGAAGCGCTGAAAGGTGATCAGGCCTATATAAAGGCTAGTGGTAGCCACCCAACTAATCGGGTTAGGAGGCAATAGAACCCTTGCACGATCCAGTCATCTCTCGAACTACCGTAACATATACATGGTCCTCGACGCCTTTCGCCGTTGAGCTACCCACCTATACCTGCGTATATTTGGCAATTTGAACATAATGTAGCCAAGCCATCACAAGAGAAACGCTCATCTTTCAGATGGGAATGTTTGCTCTGCAAATGAAAAGTTAAGAATGCACGTTTTTTCAGAACATCGCCAATGAAATCTGCCTTGTGGATGTTGTGGCCGATAAACTCAAAGGAGAAATGATGGATCTTCAACATGGTCTTGCCTTCACAAGACACTGCGTGGTCAAGGCTGATACAGGTTTGTAATCGTGCTTACAAAAAAGCGGCCTGTTACTACCCAACCCTGAAACCCGAGTAGAGCGTGACTTGTGGCATTTCAAGCGCTTTTCATTATCACAAACTGTTGCAGCCATTGCAACCGCCGCCGGGTAAAAACATATAGGTACTGCGGCTTGACCATCAAGACTAATGAATGGTAATGATCATGAATGTGACGTTTTTCCTGCTCCCATCAAAATTTGTCCCATAACTTTTCGTAACAAAGTTTAAACTTGAATGTTGTGAGATGGATCACTGATGAAAGTGATCTTCATCTATGGCGCTGGCGAGGCGCTAAGTAGCCGATTAGCTGTGTTCCTGTCTAGTCTAATGGTAAGTAAACCTAGCCGGTTTGGAAGAATGGAAGGCCTCTTAATGACTCATTGGAGAGTCTTCCTTTGGTAGCCGCAGAATTGGATGGTTACCAGATCATGAGCCCTTGTTCTTTGCTCCATTTATAGTACAATCACGGGTTAGGTGGCTCATATTTTTAGAAAATCGTCTGGGCACGCGAAGTGTCTGCAGAATGTAACCCTGACCTAGTTTTGTGCAACCCATTTCTTCTCACGCAGGAAGTTGCATGAGGTGATCTTATCGTATGTAACTGCTTCATGTAGGTTTTGTAGTGAATTTTAATTAGAACATTTCTTTACAGGCCTACGCGGCTATCCATGTAATCCCTTCTAGATTAAATTCCAACAAAAACATTTTCATGTCCTGCTGGGGTTTAAAAGTCAGTCGTGTAGATCATTTTTCTTCCTAAATGAAGCTCCTTTCAGATTATGCGATTACTGCCGGTTCCAAGATTTGTGTGATTACGGCTGGTGCTCGTCAGAGAGAGGGCGAAAGCCGTCTTTCTCTCGTTCAAAGAAAATGTGGAGATCTTCAAAGGGATCGTTCCAAAGCTTGTTCATTATTCACCCAACACAATCCTCATGGTCGTTTCTAATCCAGGTTAGTAGCCTATTTTGAGGCACTCAGTGCTCTTGTTTTTGAAGCTTCAAAATTTTGGGATACACAGAGGTTTGGGGAGGTGACTGAAGTGGAGTTACTAGGCCCATGCCACTCACTAGCGGCACTTTTTCTCAAGAAAACAAACTGTTTTGTAGGAAGGCGGTTCTGGTGATAAGTATTTGGTAGTACAGAGTATACATTTGTCATCCAGCCTGGAAACATCCCGTCAGGACAATTTTTGTAAACTGTGGCTAATCACGTATGGGCGGTTCCGAAAAGGACGATCAAAGTGATTCTTTTTCCGCTCCTCCCCCGTGCCCTGGTTTTTGCGACAATAAGAGGTGTTTAATTTCTCTTTAAATTTTGACACCTAGCTGTGGGCGCTATTTCTGTTAACCGGCTACAGAACCGCTTAGCAAAAGTAGAGACTTTTACCCGAGGGTTTGATGATGTGCTAATTTTTGTTTCAGTTGACGTCCTGACGTACGTCACATGGAAAATTTCTGGTCTTCCCAAGGAACGCGTTTTCGGTTCAGGAACAAATCTCGATTCAGAAGGTAAGTCGCTCCTAACTCTTGTTCTATTTTTATGCAGGCAAAAAAAGGTAAAGAAAACTTTTTACCCCGAGCGAACATGATCATGGCTACCTACGTTAAGGCTCCTATTCTGAAAGCACTAATGAACAAAATGCCTTTTTACTTGTTGTTGTTTATTTCAACATACTTATGCTAATTATAGATTCCGCTTCTTGCTCTCACAGAAGCTGCACATCGCTCCATCTTCATGCCATGGATGGATTATCGGAGAACATGGAGATTCTAGCGGTTAGTTGTGCTTTTGTAAGGACTAGCGGTTCGTTGTGCTTTCGTAAAGACCTTTAGGCTCGACAATATGTTGAATTTCTGATCAATATGCTCGTCAATTTTAGTTGCGGTTTGGTCTGGTGTGAATGTGGCTGGAGTGACGCTTTCCAATGTGAAGCCAGATATTGGAGGAACAACTGATGACGAGCATTGGGAGCAGGAGATTCACAAGAAAGTCGTGGAAAGGTAATATCATCAAAGTTAGACTTACCAGCAGTGTCTTAGAAATTAATTGGATCACCGGAGAGAATGGTTTCGATGAATGGGCCATTGAGGAGCTCGCAATGAGAAGTTGAGACGTAGTGGTATCTGAGGATGAGGCAAAGGCAAATCATTTTATCATTGAGCATAAAAACTGCAGTTTTTTTGTCCAGAGTTTTGAATGAAATGTGGTTCGGGAATCACGAACATCTTGAGAGGTCCTCTATTGGGTTAGTTGGCGAAGTGGCCGATTTCAGCAGAAATTTAATTTTGGAGATCGATACTAGTAGCGAGCCTTTCCTGTGCGTCTGTCCAATCAAAATACGTGATTTTTTTCTTTTAGTGCGCTTTGAGATGCTGCGAAGCCAACACTCGAAAAATGTTTACTCTGTAGTGCCGTGAAAATCTGTAGGCGGAGATGGCATAGTGCAAATGACGCCGTTTCCTGCTAGTGAATCATTGCGGCGTTTAGATCGTAAAATATGTCCAGATTTTAATCAAAATATTCATGTAGTATCATATAATAATTGCACACGGCTTGCCAGCATTGTCAAAGATGTTGAGCGAAGATCAACAGGAGTCCCACTTGGGGTTTTGATGAGAGCCATACTTTTGGTATTTGTGTATTGTAACTGTGGAGGAGATGCTATGCTCCTCAGAGGACGTTGTGCCGGAGCTGGAATATTGTATTGTGTTGTGTAGAGTGTGGGGGGGGGGGGCGGGGAAGGTGTTATGACTATTTTCGCACAGTAGCAACGAAAAATGCATGGAGTTTGGCGAAGTTACAGGATTAGCCTTAGCCGTATCGAATGTTTTATGTCCCCTCCCATCACCCATCCCCCTCGACAAATATTTGGAAGAAATTTTGGGGCGAAGCTTGAGTGTGGTCTCAGACTCAAGTGTTAAGAAGCGGCCTAGTGGTTAGCGTAATGTAATGCAGTGGGGAGGGGGTATTGAAGTGTGGGCGAGGGGGTTGATGATTCAAGAAGAGGAGTCGTGACAATCTGTCTTGATAAAAACTGGCACGAGCCGGTGGGTCACATTCCTGCCATAGATGTCCTCCAGGCCGGTCAGCCTTCTTACCACAGTATAGTGATTGATATGTTATCCTTTGGGAGGGCAGAAACAGTGTATTGCACATTGTACACGTTGGTTGCCGCAAGTCATTGCATAGGCTTTATCGTAGTCAGTTGCTGCTACGACCACAAATTGATCAGAATGCGTGGCGTATCCCGGAATCGGATTGAATAACATCGGACGATTCTCAAATTACACTGAATTTTTTAATCAATCTCCTTCGTTTTTCAGCGCATATTGAGATCATCAAGCTGAAAGGCTATACGTCGTGGGCCATTGGTTTGTCAGTGGCTAAGATCGTCCAGGCTATTATGACCAACTCTCGAAATGTTTTCGCTCTATCCACCAACGTCAAGGTAGGGTCTTGTTGTGTTCCATTTTCAAATGTGTAAAAATTCTGAAATTTTCAAATTTGTTTTCAGGGCTTCCATGGAATTGCAGAAGAGGTCTACCTCTCATTGCCGGTCGTTCTCGGCTCAGAATGCATCAGACATATAGTCAAAAAGCAGAATTTGGAACTCGGTGTGAAGTCGCAGCATTAACCTTCACAAGAGTAGTATGCCCTTTAGAAGTGCAAGAATGGTGCGTGCGTTATTTGAAGATGCTGTGAAATCGAGATGAATGAGTGTCTGTGAAACGTGTTTCGTGATTTTATAGTTAACAATAGTTTATGTGAATGTTTAATGTGGCTTTTGAATTGTAAATCTCATCGAGAATTAAGTGCATAATATTTGTTAGGTTAATAAAGTACATAGTGCACACAACTGAATGTATATGTACTTAGCCTACAGACAAGCGATTTGGTGAAAAGTTATCATTCCTACTGCAGCAAGCATCTTACTACCACGACTAACCAGAATTTCTAGCGAATACAACAGAAAGCTCGTGAAACCATAGTGGCAATTTACTTATTTAAAGGCAAGGTCGGGATTAGACCAAATCAACCCTTTCGGTCATGGGGGCCGTGTATTAGTGGTGATGCGGTGAGATTTCCCACGCCTCAAAATCTCGAGACGGCGCGATAGTAAGTGCCCAGCGGCAAGTCGTATTATGCGGCCTATCGCCCGCGCCTGTGAAAATGAGTGAGATTGATTGCCGTATCAACCGATAGACGACTGAGATATCCAGAAATTGCTTACGGCTAGTAGCCTCTTCACTCGCTAGTGGGGAAACTAGGGTGAAAACCGTGTGAGGAAATAACCGACCTTCTTTACCGACCCCCCCCCCAAAATACATGTGAACGTCTGATACGATCCCTTTTGTCTCTTGCACATCGCGGTCGTGTATAATAATTTATTTATAGACATTATGAGATATTATTTGCATTAGGCTAACTACAACACTTGTGAAAAACTAATGATGACAGCAAATAAGTGGCAGCAGCACCGTTGTGTCCGTTGATGAACCTTTTGATTACGACCCCCTCCCAACTCTCATCGGAGCAAATACGACCCCCTGTCGAGGATTTCCTCGACCGTTATTCACCCTGGAAAGAGGGTTTTGTTAACGGCCTTGTCGACGGTTTTTCTCAGTTTTTTCTCCACTGTCGTTCCACTTCGCATCTCTATACTCAGTTTCAATCGCCATAATACCCCCTTATTGAGCCCGACTTTTGCCTTTAACAACATCATAACCCGCATTCTCCTTGCTGAATGGTGTGATGTGCACTGATGCGATCTTGAGATTTTCGAATAGATAACCCGAGAGCGAAAATCTGGATGCGACCTGTGAACCGATCATCCTCATCTCAAATGTGGTGGTTACTGATATTTTTGGGATGCCTGGAATCCACTGTCGCCTCGATTTTTTGCCTCATCCACACTGCAACTCCAAGTCATTCCACAAGGGTATGGTTCGCACCATTTAATAACTTACTTGAAGAAAGAATTGCGAAAAAAAAAGAGAAAAGGATTGCGAAGCGGAAGCGGGCTAGACTACTCTTTGTTTGACCCCACATAATAATATATCAAAAAATTTTCTCTAACAGCAAAGGCTCAGTCTTTATTGATTGCATAAATAACGTCAATTTCACGTCAGTTTTACTTAGTCGTATCATCTTAGGCGTTCGAATATAAAAGTAGGTATAAATATAAGCGCATTTCCGTTCATTTATTGACTGGCTATGTACCCTCATTTCGCAAAACAGAAAGCGTCGAGTGCAGACACACACCACAAGTGACGACGGCCAAGAAAAAGTGGCTTTTTCTTTTCTTTTTTCTTGGCCGTCGTAACTTGTGGTGTGTGGTCTGCACTCGACGCTCTTCTCATTTTCTGAAATAGAGTATATATGCATATGTATGTGTTTTGCATGTTTTATATGTATGTGTATGTAAAAATTGACACAGGCGCAATGTAATAACCTGTTGAAGAGTGCTTGCACTAGTCGTAAGCCACCCTTACCAAACAACTATATAATGTTCACATCGGCAAGCCAGTCACATAACTAGATGCAATTTTTCAGCGCGTTGATCATTCCCCCAGTTCTTCGAATGCTCTGAGGTCTAAATAGATTGAGAAAGACACCATATGTTTAATGTAGGGATTGGTTTCCTCCCAAGGATACGCGCGATGAATCTAGCTTTGTATATATTTGAAGGGAAGATTCTCAATTATCTGGGAGAAATTTCGTTCATACAGGGCTTTTGGAGAAATTGAAGGTTACCGTTCTGCTTTTTGTCGAGTTATCTGCCATTCTCTTTGTTAGATTGAGTGTGTAGGTCAAGTAGGACTCCTGGA